GACGTTCAACATGCAATTGAAATTGTATGAATATATCAAACACATCAGATTTGCGCTTAAGAATATAAAGCCATGTGAAACGACTATAGGCATCAACAAAACTGACATAGTAGTTGTGACCACTAACAGATGTTTGTGCTGGACCCCACACATCAGAAAACACAATTTCAAGAGGACTCTTTACTTCTCTAGTAGATGAAACAAAAGGTAGTTGATGACTTTTGCCTTGTTGGCAGGCATCACACATGGACATCTCTTTATTTCTAGACTCTAATGGCAGCTCATGGCGGTGGAGTATGTGGCGAACGATGGGTGTGGTGGGATGACCAAAGCGAGAGTGCCACTGGGAAGGCGACACACGAACACCGCTGAAGACGCACTAGGCGGATGAATCCTCCAAACGGTACAAGCCTTGGCTCAAGCGGCAACTAAGCGGAATGTCCCGGGTTGCTCTATCCTTCACAAAAAGATTGAAAGGGTGAAATTCACATAGGACATGATTATCAAGGGTGAGCTTAGGGACAGATAAAAGATTACGAGTCATCGAGGGGACCCGCAAAACATTACAAAGATGGAGCTGCCTAGAGGGATGACTAGTTAAAAGAGATGCTTGGCCAATGTGAGAGATGTGCATACCTACACCATTGGCGGCGTGAACCTGATCGTGCTCGTAGTAGGGCTGGTCGGTGGAGAGTTTGTTGAGCTCGTTCGTCATGTGATCTGTGGCGCCGATGTCTATGTACCAGGCTAGATCAACAGGATAGGACGGCGTGTACCCATGGTCGAAGTGCGGGTCCTTGCCCTTGGCGGCGATGTGGGCAGCCGGGGCGGTGGCGAGTTGGGCAGCCGGGGCGACGGCGGGGGGACCAAAGTCTGCCGTCGCAAATTGGCGCTCGTTGCCCTTGCCGTCATTGCCGATGCCAAGGAAGCTCCTCTGAAAGCGGCGGTGACACTTGGCGGTGACATGGCGTTCACGCCCACATAGCTGGCACGCCACCCAAGTGTTAGAGCCCCCACCCAGGGTTGATGCAGGGGGCGGGGTGGGCTTGCCAGATGACGGGGCAGGGGCCCTGGCCCCGAGAAGCCCAGAAGGCCGCCGGCTGTGAGGTGATGGTGGGGGAGGAGCGACGAGCCTCGACGCGCTGCTCGGTGAAGAGAAGTCATGAGTAGAGCTCGTGCGGGGGCATCACTGGCTTAGCGTTGTGAATAGCCTCAGCAAGATTGTCATAGTCGGCATCGAGGCCTTTGATGACAAAGCCAGGAAACTCCTCGTCTCTGAGCGACCGACCGATAGGGGTGAGTGTGTCTGCCAGCACCTTCATCTTTTTGAAGTAGGTCATGGCGGAGGAGTCCAGCTTCTTAATATCGGCGAGCTTGCTGCGAAGGGCCATCGAGCGGGAGGTAGAGACCTGGGCAAAGGCATGCTCCAGGGTCGTCCAGGCGTCCATGGAGGTGGCAGCGAAGAGACAGAGACCGGCGACCCCGTCGCCGAGGGAGCCCTAGATGGCAGAGAGGATCGCTTGGTCCTGCTGCACCCACATACGGTGTTTCGGGTTAATGGTCGGGCCGTGTACGTAGGGATGACCTGCGGAGGACACGGTAGCGAACCATCCACAAACCCTAGGAGAGACTGGCTGCAAAGCAACGGTAGGACCTTGGCGCGCCAGAACAGGTAGTTGTCCGGTGTGAGTCTGATGGCGATCAAATTGTAGAAGTGGAACGGCCCGGCTGGCGTGATGACGCCAGTAGCAGGGGCAGCGGTCGGCGGAGCCGCGGCAGGAACCACTGCCGCGACCGATGCCGCGGGTGGCGACGCGGGAACGATCGGGATCACGGCCGCGGGTGGGGCCATGAGCGAGGTCGCGGGTGGCTCCACGGGTAGCGCCTCCCCCGAGGTCGCCGGGATGACGGCAAGTGTCGAGGAGGAGCCGGAAGGGGCCATCGCAGGCGGTGGCGGCGGGATCGGTGTTGAGGCCGTCGCGGGCGGTGGTGGAGGGATCCGCGCTGAAAACAGGGAGCGCACAGCGGTGGTGCCGAAGAACTGAGGCACCGACGGAGCTAGGGGCGAGGTGGGAGGTTGAGGGCGGCAAGCGACGCGGAGATTGACCCGGAGCTGGTGGCGCCCGAAGCGGGAGCAGTCATGGCTCCGACGGCGGCAGCCCTAGGGTTTAGGGTTTTGGTGGTGCGGCGGCGGCGGGTGGGGTAGAGGACCTAGGACCTAGGTTAGACTCGATACCATGTAAAACATAGGTTTTGAGGGGAACTGGCTCAACCCTCTATGGGGTGGCCTATCACACAAGTCCTATACCAATATGGTATGGATTACACAGTAAGGCTACAATACGAAGTCTAACACCCCAAGGTGCAAGTTCTTTGTCTGGCTTGTCCTTCAAAATAGTCTTTGGACATCGGGTCGACTGATATGCTGCGGCTGGCCAAATTGTGATCTCTGCCCTCTATGTAAGCAATGCCAAGAGTCAGCCGCCCATATACTCTTCCAATGCTGCTACACCACCTGCATTTGGAACATCTTCCGTGGCTTGGAATGCATCACATCACTACGATGGCTTGGCGGACAATGACTTTGGTGAGAGCATTGTGGAACGGCAACCTTCAGAAGATGCATACATTTCTATGTAGAATGTATGCTTCCAGAAGCTTAGTTTTAGTTGACTTACAACATAAAACATATTTTCAGGATCATGATCATCAAGACTCTGATTCTGAATCAAAGAATACACTAGGCAACAGCTATCTTTATTCTTGAGATTAGCATCACTAAGTAAGCCAGCCGCATCATCAGATGGGAAGTGGCTTTCTTTCTGTGTGCAACAAATGATGAAACGATGATCCCTCTAAACAACAGCAGTGGATCACACCAAGTACAGCAACAGCAAGCTCAAAGAAAAACAACGATCGATCGATCCTAGAGAACCCGGTTGGACAGCGACAGCAGGCGGCAGAAGAAGTTGAAGCCGGCGGAGGGCATGTCATCGCGGAACCTGGGGTTCTAGAGGTAGAAGAAGCCCATGCCTAGCGGCAGCGCCTTTAACGGCACGACATAGAGCACCAGCACGGCCAGCAGGCAGGCCACGACGAATACCCCAGTTACGCGTGGGTCGCGCTAGGACAGCAGCGCCTCCACGCGCCCCCCTGCGTCGCCACGTCACCAAGCAGCATATGTGTGCCCGGCCACAGCGCGCAGCTGGTCGTAGCGCACCCGCACCACGTCCGCGTGGTGGGACGAGGGGAGCCCGTTGAACTCCTCGTCCAGATCGTCGAGGCTCATGATGTCCATGTCTGAGAACCACGGGTCCATGCCTGCCGGCTCGCGTGGCCGCCAGCGATAGCGCCAGATCAGCACGAGGAGGAGGTAGAGGCAGACGGTGGGCAGTATCATCTCTAGGCAGAGCACGACGGCGACTTGCAGCATGTGGACGAGGACGGAGGTGGGCGAGTGCTCCTAGGTGCGCACCCGGAGGCCCCAGTGCACCGCGGTAGCGAGGTGCGAGAGGCAACAGATGACGCGGAACTAGTTGGCCTTGCTCGGGCGCATGCTTCAGGTGTGTGTATCCGTGTCCAGCAGGTACTGCACCACCTCCGGCACCAGCAGTGGCTTGGACCACACGAGCCGGCCTGACACGATGCGCATGGTGGTGTGGCACAACACGTCCTGTCGCGCCGGGCCCAGCGGCTTGACATAGTGCATGCGCGCAGTAGCGGGCTCCCATACACTTGCATCAGCGTGAGCTAGGATGGGAAGGTGAAGCGGATACCCAACTCTAGCCGCCCATCTTGCGCACGCCGACTGGGTGCACCGCTGTGAGCGCGTAGCTGATGGTGTACATCCGGTTCTTGTCCAACGTGGAGAGCCGGATGTGAAGCTTGCCGATGCAGACGTCCTTCCTGGCCAAGGCGGCGTCGCCGGAGGTCTGCTGCTTGTACCTAGCTTTGTGGACGACGGCGATGGAGAGCACAGTGCATGGGTCGAACACGTCCTAGGCGCACTGCTCGTTCCAGCACGAGTTGAAGTGGTCGAGGATGGTGCGCGTGGGTGCCCACTTGGGCCTTTACTTGAGCACCACGTACGCGTCCGTCGAGCCGCTCGTGCCGTCCTTGGCGATCTTCATCGGCACCAGGTTGGCACTGGTGAGGACCAGGTTGGTTACCATCCGAGTCGAACTACATGCCACGTTTCCTGGAACGCCTCGTCAACCCGTCTTTCTTCGTTTCTCGCCTGGCGTGTATGGACGAATCGCACGCACGCACGCCTTTCTTCGTTTCTCACCTCGTCTAGGGACAAATCGCTCAAACGCGCCCTAGCTCGTGTCTTCTCGTGCTCTCACTTTGATTATTTCTTCAGTTAATTGTACCATGCATAGCCCTGCCTCGTGTGTTTTTTTTTGTTCGATTTTGATTTGATTATTGAATCCCGGTCGATCGTTTCTGAGGCGTCTCATCATGCACCTCCTCCGGACTCCAAGTCCCACACGCGCGCCAGAACGAAATATATTTTCTTCTTTTTCCTGCGTGTGAACGATTTTTTGTTTGTTTGTTTTTTATAAGGAATGAAAAAACTTTTTTTGTTATTTTTTTAGTACAAAAGAACAAACTTTTCTCTTCTCAAAAACAAATCGCATTGACCACATACTTGACACGGCTCGGTCGCATTTTTTTGTGCTAAACTATTTTACCTATTTATTAATTATTGTGTCACCAAGTAGTTTTTCTATAATACAATGTTTGTCGTACATTTATTGAATATTATTGACCAAACATAACGGTAAGACCCAAGTTTTGTGTTATATAATTCAAGTGTTTGTCATTATATCCCTCCGTTTCCAAATATAAGTTTTTTTTACAGATTTTAATATGGACTATATATGGATGTATATGGACATTTTTTAAGTATAAATTCACCTGTTTTGCCCTGTATGTAGCCTATATTGAAATCTCTAAAGGGCTTATATTTAGCATTGGAGGGAGTAGTGAACATCTTTTTTTTACGTTTCAGCTAGGAACACTTGGATGGTCTCAAGTTTGCCTAGTGTAAGAAAAACAAAAGAATGATGAACAAAGTACACTAATCCAAACTATTATGTGTCACTCAGATGTACCATAGTGTGTTTATATATGTTTGTGTTTGTTTTATTAAATATAAATACTACAAATCTATGTATGAGTTTCTCGCAAAAAAAAATCTATGTATGAGTTAGCAAATATCCAAGCAAAGATTTTTCATTTACGAGTGTTTACTCAGTTATAGCTATAATAGAAAGATCTAGAATTCCTACGGTGTCGACGAGGAGTTTGGAGCCTACATTGCTCCTTTTTCTTCAAAAAAATTTATGGACAAAGCACTGACCATGCCAACACCCGTTCGAGTGACTTGCCATGGGTCACTGATGAACAGTAAGGTGGCATGACCCTCTTTCTGTTGGGAATAATCCGTGGCGAGTCTGGCGAGCCGGTGCGCGCGAACGTGCGCGGTGGGCGCGTCGGACTCGGGCCAGGGCAAGGTTGGGTGCGTGCGTGTGCTCCCAAGTGTAGGTGTGCGTGTGTGCGTGGGTTAGCGCGTGTGTGTGCGAGTCTGTTGGCGTAGGACCAGGGCGTGGGCCGCGTAGGGCGCGCGAAGTGGACGCGGCGATCGCGTCAAAGCGCGATGGGCGCGCGCGAGCCAGGGTGTGCGGGGCGTGGCGAGTGGGAGTCGGGCGAGTCGTGGAGCTGCACGGGCATGTCCGTGGGCTCGGGTATAAGACCCTCTCCCCCCTTGTGTAAGTCGCTGAGGAGATCGAGTTCGTGCTCGAGGTGATAAACAATGAAGCCGTTCGTGCGGCGGGGGTGTTCAAGCACTCGGAAAAACTCTGTGTCCACCTTCCTCCTCGCCGATCGTGTCTCCGGTGATCGCCGTGCTTCGGTAGTTCCATTTTGGGGCCAACATTTGGTATCAGAGCGAGGCGACGAGGCGCGGTGAGGGAGCTCGCCGGAGTTCATGGCGCTGGTTCCACACGGCGGCGGGGGCGCGGGCGGATCGGTGTCGATGAACATGCCGATGCTCTCGCCGGAGAACTACACCATGTGGGCGATCAAGGCGCAGGCAATCCTTGATGCCCACACGCTGTGGGAGGCGGTGGCGCCGGCGAACGACGCGGCGGTCAACGCGAAGAAGTGCAAGACGGCGAGGGCGCTGCTTCTGTCGGGGCTGCCGGAGGACGTCTTGCTGCAGGTGGCGGCGAAGCCCACGGCGAGGGAGGTATGGGACTCCCTCAAAGTGCGTTTCGTCGGCGCCGAACGGGTGCGCGCGGCGAGAAGGGCGACGTTGCGCGGCGAGCTGGACCGGCTGAGGATGGAGGACGGCGAGTCTCTGGACGTCTACGCCGGCAGGTTGGGG